AGGGCCGCGGCCGGCGGGAACGGCGCTGGGCGGTGTGCCCGGCCGGGCGGGGGCCGCGGGATGACCGGCGTCCTGCCGAGCCCGGCGCCGGACATGCACGCCAGCCAGCTCTCGGCCGGCGGCTATCAGCAGCACGGCCTGCACAAGCCGCAGGAGTCCCCCACGCTGCCCGTCTCCACCGCCACCGACAGCAGCTACTACGCCAACCGGCAGCCCTACGGCCAGCCGGTGCCCTGCCCCTACGCGCCCGGCGCCGCCCCCTTCCCCGCCAAGCCGGGCTACGACCCGGGCTACGCGGCCGCCTACGGCTCCTACGGGCCCTACGGCGCCGGGGCCTCGCCGGCCGCCAACGACTCCGGTACGTCGCGGCCCGGGGCCGGGGGGAGCGGGGCGGCCGTCGGGGCGGGCGGGGCGCGGCCGCGGCCACGGCTCCTCACGGCGCCGTTTCCGCCGAGCAGAGAAGGAGGAGTGCGAGCCTGAGGTGCGAATCGTCAACGGGAAGCCCAAGAAGGTCCGCAAGCCGCGCACCATCTACTCCAGCTTCCAGCTAGCGGCCCTGCAGCGCCGCTTCCAGAAGACACAGTACCTGGCGCTGCCCGAGCGCGCCGAGCTGGCCGCCTCCCTCGGCCTCACTCAGACCCAGGTAGGGTTTGCCCGGCGCCGCTCGGCCCGACGGGGCAGCCGCGAGGCGCTGACGCCGCTCTCCGCTCTCCCGCAGGTGAAGATCTGGTTCCAGAACCGCCGCTCCAAGTTCAAGAAGATGTGGAAGAGCGGCGAGCTGCCCGCCGAGCCGTCCCCGCGCCGCAGCGCCTCGCCGCCGCCCCCTGCCTCGCCGCCCGCGTGGGACTTCGCCCCGCACCCGCGTGCGGGGAGTGGCTCCCCCGGCCCTGCCGCGGCCTTCCTCGGCAGCTACGCGTGGTACCCGCCCGGCCCCGCGCCGTCCGCCGCCTCCCTCCCTCAGCACCACGGCGGAAGCGGCGGCGGCGTCTTCTAGGGACCGCGGGTCATTTCCCTTTTTATTTTTTTAAAGTCGATAGGTGCCTTTGTGGAAGACCTCATTCTGATGTTGGGGACTGAACAAAAAAAAATAAACAAACAAACAAATAAAAATAAAACGATTAAAAGAAAAAAAAAAGATAAATATGTTTTATATGTAGGTTTAAAGCCGGAGCGTCCCGTCGCCCCCCAAGGCCGTGCACGGGAGTCCCTCTCCGGTGCCCCCGGGAGGGATCGGGCCCCGACGGAGCTCCCTCGGTACGCGGCTGCCAGCGCGGCGCTGAGAGCCGTGACACGACATAAACAAACAAAGGGTATTTTGGTTATTTATTATGGAAAACTTCAGCGCTCTTTCGTGTTTCTTTTACAGCAAGCAGAGATTATTTAAATAAATTATTGTTTCCACGGTGCCAGCTCTCCGTTTCTTTGGGCACGGGGGTGGTCGGGGGCGTCGGTCCGGGCCCGATGCTGACCTGGGGCGAAGCAGCCCCCCTTCGACATCCTATCGACGCCACACGAGCGGGCTCGGGGTGCAGCCCCGTCCCGTACCCCGCTCCCGCCCGCGCAGCATCGCGGGGCGGCTCTGAGTCATTCCTCGTGCCTCCGGCAGCGCGAAGCCCCGCCACTCGCTGGGCGCACACCACGTTCGGAACGTCCCCGGCCGTGCGGTGCGCTGCCGGGAGCCTCGGGGAGGGTCTTTAGGGGTGTGGGCCCAGAGGGGCGGAGGAACAAGAGAAAGGAGGGGGAGAGGGACGGCTGCGAGGGAGGGGAGAGCGGGAGAAACAAAGGGGCCGCTACCCGGGGACGCTCCCGCGGGGACGCGGGTGACAGCGCGCAGGGAGGGAAGCGGCGGGGAGCCGGGCGGAGGGACCCACCGGGACACGGACCCGCGTGGAGGGAGCACCCCGGTGACGGGCGGTGTCACAGCGCGCGGTGGGAGGGCGGCGTGGGTCCGGCAGAGAGGCCGGGACCGCCTCCCTGCCCCGCGCTCTTCAGTCCCGTTCTCGGCGGCCCGCTCCGCCCGGGGCCGGGGCCGCCGTCGGGGGCCGGGAGCCGCGGAGCGCTCCGCCAGAGCGAGGCATCCCGCGCTCCTCCCTCCGTCCTCCGCGAGTCCCTTCTCCCTGTCCTCGCTCCACCGCTTCGCCCTTTATCGAGCATCCCCCCGAGCAACCCCGGCACCCGGCTCGGGGCCCGCACGGGCCGGCGGTGCTCCTCGCACCCTCGTCCTCCGGCCCGGGGGCACGGGACGGGCTGCGTCGAGAAGCGGGGCCGTCGAGAACGGGACGAAGCGCCCCGTGCGGCCCCGCCGCGCCGCCCTTGGAAGGTCCGTGGGGCTCTTCTCGGCACCGCCCCCCCACCGCTTTCCACCCCCTCCCGTCGGTCCCCGTCGAGGGGCTGCGGGTGTCGACGGCGCTCGGCGGGTGGGCGCCGCGCTCGTGTGCCCCGGTGAAGAGCAGAGCCCGAGAAATTCGATTAGAGCGGCTCTGGCGAAAGGAGTTATTTG